GCCTTGATGTCGGGCTGCCTTCAAGTTGAATTGTCTTGAAACTGAATCTATGCGCCGCTTTGCCTTCGCCAGCAGGAGCACTTTTAGCAGCATTTGTATTTTTTTTTAAGTTTCAAAAAGTGTATTTCTGACTAGTTTTTTTAAATGTAATTTTGGAAAATGTCTGTGGCCTACGTCTTGATTACCATACCAGAGGTCCCAGTTATAATGCATTTTTAAGGGAAGTAATGAATCATTGCTTGCCGTTGTTTTTTTGTGGACATTATGAAGAGACACATACACACACATACACACGTGTGTATGTGTGTGTGTGTGTGTGTGTGTGTGTGTGTGTGTGTGTGTGTGTGTGTGTGTGTGTGTGTGTGTGTGTGTGTGTGTGTGTGTGTGTGTGTGTGTGCATATGTGCGTGTGCGCGTCCCCGTGTGTTTGCGTGTGTGTATGTGCGTATAATATGTATATATGCATGTAGGCAATAACACACACAAAATAATTGAACCCAATCGACCCCGAAAGAGGTGGTTCCCCCCCTGACTCACTTGGCGATGCTCTTGATGCCGCTGAGGAAACTGGGCTTGTCTTCAGCTGACGTCACAGAGGGGGGCGAGGGGGGGCGGGCGGGGAAGTAGATGATCACGGCGAGAAGGAGGCCGGCCGCCACCCCGCAGTCTGGAAATTGGGGGGGAGGGGGGGGAGGGGGGGAGGGAGGAGGAGGAGGAGGAGGAGGAGGGGGGTAGGGGGAGACGTAAAGTTAAAATTATGGTTTTCCTTTTCCATTATCATCATCATCATTATTATTATTATCACTATTACTGTTATCGTATTCTTGTTATTATCGTTATTATTATCGTAATTATTTCTATTATTATTTCAATTCTAATTATTACTATCCTTATTATCATTATTGCTGTTATCATTACTAATAAAACATCACTCATTATCATTATGGTCCTTATTTGAGTAACAATATTTTCACTGCATTAATTATAACAAAAATATTCGGCAAAAAATATCGAAATCATCATTGGCGATTATTACTACTTATTAAAAACAACACACGCACACACGCACACACCACGCACGGACACCATCACACACAAACACACACGATCTGACAACTGTGTATGCGTGCGTGCGTGCGTCGTGCGTGCGTGCGTGCGTGCGAGCCAGAGCGGGGCAGCAGCCAGCACCCTGGGGGGGGAAGGGGGGGGAGGCGTCCAACTCACGGATATACATCAGGGTCATGATGTCTCCCCGGATATCCTCTGGCGTGATCCCTTCGCCCGGACTCCTCACCACCAGGGGACCCATGTACATAGCGGCGCCCCCGAGCTGGCACATGAGGGCGCCCACGGCTGTCCGCCCGCACGCCCACCCGCGGCGCGCCAAGGGAGGGAGGGGGCGAAAGGACGGCATGGGGGGGGGGGGAGTGCAGGCCGTACGGGATGGAGGGTATTGGGGGGAAGAGGGAAGAGAGAGAGGGAGGGGAGTGGGAGAAGAGGGAGAGGGAGGTACGGGGGAGGAGAGAGACAAAGATTAATATATCATTTCATATTCAGATTATTTCAATTAAATTTCTTCATACATGACTGATGGTTTCTGGGCTTGAAGAGAGAGAGAGAGAGAGAGAGAGAGAGAGAGAGAGAGAGAGAGAGAGAGAGAGAGAGAGAGAGAGAGAGAGAGAGAGAGAGAGAGAGAAAGAGAGAGAAAGAGAGAGAAAGAGAGAGAAAGAGAGAGAAAGAGAGAAAGAGAGAAAGAGAGAGAGAGAGAGAGAGAGAGAGAGAGAGAGAGAGAGAGAGAGAGAGAGAGAGAGAGAGAGAGAGAGAGAGAGAGAGAGAGAGAGAGAGAGAGAAGGCGTGAAATGAAGGACAAAGAGAGAGAGGAAGAGGGAAACGAGAGGAGGATTGAGAGGAAAGACACACTCATACCGAGAGCGAAAGGGAAGAGCGGAAAAGAGGCAGACATGTGCACACACACGCACACAAATGTATGTGCATGTATGAATGTATATTTATATGTAAACATAAACAAACACACACATATGTATGTATGTATGTGTATGTGTGTGTGTGTGTGTGTGTGTGTGTGTGTGTGTGTGTGTGTGTGTGTGTGTGTGTGTGTGTGTGTGTGTGTGTGTGTGTGTGTGTGTGTGTGTGTTTGTATGTGTGTTTGTATGTGTGTTTGTATGTGTGTTTGTATGTGTGTTTGTATGTGTGTGTGTGTGTGTGTGTGTGTGTGTGTGTGTGTGTGTGTGTGTGTGTGTGTGTGTGTGTGTGTGTGTGTGTGTGTGTGTGTGTGTGTGTGTGTGTGTTTGTATGTGTGTTTGTATGTGTGTTTGTATGTGTGTTTGTATGTGTCTGTGTGTGTATATGTGTGTGTATGTGTGTGTGTGCATATATGAATATATATATATATATATATATATATATATATATATATATATATATATATATATATATATATATATATTATATATATATGTATATATATATATATATATATT